GAGATGAGGATGGCGGGGATGGTGGGTGCGGGGTTGTTTCGGGCCGGCTTGGAATGGGGGGAGAGGGGACATTCGGTGAACGTTGCTCCGGGGAAGGTGCGGACGGCAACATTTTTCATTTGAAGGCGGACGGGAGGCAACGGCAGTACTGTGGATAGTGTTCTGGAACAAGACGGGCAGGTAGATGTCAGGCGGATGAGGCTTTCTTCTGTGGGCATGATGGGTCTTGCGGGTCAATGGGTTTGCTAGATGTAGTTTTTGACTGGGGAACGAAAGGTGGACACGAGGTGTAAGGTACCCTTCGATACGGCGTCCTTTTGAAATTCGCTATTCTAATTGATATTGCGGCTTGTGACAAAGGGGCTGCAGCCCATAGACATGTCTATGAGTCAACAAATGTTGGAAATTGGAAATTTGGAGAAAGGTCCTCCCACTATTTGCGCTCCACTTGTCTTTCCAACTTCCTACGTTTTTTTCTGTCGGGGAAATTCTAGATTTCCCCGACAGGCCAGGAAGCGGTAAATTGCAACTGCTGTACACTCCAGCTGCGCTTGCTCATGTGTCTGCTGCCCTCCCTCTCGCCTGCCCCCCCTCTCCCCCGGCTTCCCTCCCTCTCCCTCGGCTGCCCCCTCTCCCCCGGCTGCCCTCTCTCCCTCGGCTGCCCTCCCTCTTCCTCGGCTGCCCTCCCTCTTCTTCGGCTGCCCTCCCTCTCCCTCGGTTTCCCCACCCCTCACTGCCACAGATTATTGAGTTGCCTTTTCGCCTTGCACTCCTGTCTTCCTCGCGCCGTTGTTTGGCCTGCACAGATAGCATCAAACCCCTGTTTCATACGCTCATTTGGCAAGGCCTTGGTCTCGCATCAACAATATTAACTTCGCTGCCTTCTATCCCGGCTTTGCAGAAAGCCATTCACCCTTGCTCCTGCGTCGCACTCCTGCTAGGCACCCCTGTCAACTCCACCTGCGCTCTACCGCCCTTGTCTGGAATCGTCGCGCCCTCGTGCCCATCCGGTTCTCCCTTTTATCTTTGTTCTCCCTTCTTTTTGTACTTCTTGCGGCCAAAGTGCTACGCTTTTTGACGATCTACTATCTCGTATCGCACTGTGCACTGTACTAGCGGTATTACACCGACAAAACATGGATTCAAATGGCAATCAGGGCAATGCATTTAATGACAGAACTCCAAACGTGCTTGCTTCCGGCTCTTCGCCGTTGGGATATAGGGATATACCGAATACTGTGGAAAAGTCGAACATGTATTCAAGCCGTGACTGTGGCATGCAGGCAAGGGCGACGGCATCTGATGCCAACAGGTCCGCCGCTGACGGAGAAAGAGAGAATACGGAAACTTTTCGTTCTCCTTCTCCCACCAGTCTGCAAATGCCTACTATCCCACAGGAACATGAAAGGGCTAACACAGATGCCGCCCCGCCTTCTACAACCGTTTTGAACGCCACGAATGCTCGCGGAATCGTTCCGCGTTGTTTTGCGCAAGCCAAAGAAATCCTTCGCTTCGGGTTTGTAGACAATAGCACTGGTAAGGCAATTTTGAAGGCTCTAAAGATAACCGGTGCGCAAAATGCGAAGGTTAGCACAAAGCTGAAGATTATTGCCATGAAAATGACACAGAGGAAATTCTCCTTGCAGGACGCTATTGCCTTTTTGGACCGTGAGGAGGAGGACGCGATTGAGCCTGACCTAGAACGCGATCCTCATTTTTACAGAGCCTCTTACCATCTGCGGTTAAGATTCAGAAAGATCGGACCGGCGGAGATATCATTCGCTGGATTCGAGGGGATGCACCAGTATTTGATGGAGACGAGATTAAGGTCAATGAGCCTGCAACAGATCGCACAGTCAACACGCCGTCTCGTGAACCCGACTTTGAGGCCTCTGAGTACTGCAGGTTGCTGCACACACTGGGGGATGCTAGAATGACCTCTACACGCTCTCAATTAATGGAACCTAAAACTCGTGACGAACTTGATCGAGAACTCGTTGATCCTTGGACGGACGCAATTGCGCCATTATTCAATGACGTCCTATTTAGGCCTCATCCCATCTCCAGTCTGGCAGGCGGTGTTACGCGTGCCGATATCGCCAGTATTGATCCATCAAACAGAGTGCATGAAAGACCTGCTGATGTTCTGAAAAGAAAATTCGGAGAGTTCAAATCCATGTACGGGACATCGCTAGCAAAATATGAATCATCAGGCCAGGGTGATCCTGACAGTTTTGTCCATTTTTCAAACGCAAAATCCTACATCATGTACGCGTTCTGCTTTTTGAAAGTGAACCCTCTGTTACAACCTTTAGCTACGAGGACTCTCGCCGGTGACGTGCAACGAGAAGAGGGGGTCGGAGGGGGAGTTGCACCAAACGGTGAAATTGGGTATGGGTCTGCGCGAAAAAGGAAAAGGGAGAAGCAAGAGACAAGTATTGTGGGAATGGAAAGTTTGTCGTCCGTATTTCGTGCATTCTCTGATGAAGTGGCGCGGGCAACTGAGGAAGCCGAAAGGAATAAAGTGGTGCATGAAGCGGCAGATGCAAAGGCCCGTTCTACACAGTCACTCCTTGCTGCCATAAAACAAGCAAAGGATATGTCGTTGGCTGCTGCGACAAACGAGGAAAAGCTGATGTATCAGGATATAGCAAGCAAGCTCATGGGTAACCTGCAAAAAAATATGCCATAGATAGTAGGCGAAGTTGGGTTTCGTTCACGCAACAAATTGAGATAGATACAACCGGTCAATACCTACAACTAGCGCCTTTGTCGTGATCGCATAAATCCTAGTAAATGAAGTCTTTCTGCAATTTTGTCCCGGAGCATAGAATTCTCCCTTCCTCGCTGTCTATATCTCTGAGCAGTTTGTTCAGTGTGCAGTAAACTTTGAATGTGAATGATGGGGGATCCATCCACGTTATTTTCCTCAGCAACCGGTATGGAACGAAAGTCCCTTTCATCGGAATTATCGATGATGAAGTTGTGGAGTTTGCAAGCCACAATTATGATCAAAGTATCGCTTGAAAGGTCATAACGCAATGCTAACCAAAAACTTCCAAACCGGCAGATCAAAATCCCAAATGTCTGTTCCACAATCATGCCACAAGAAGAAAGATAAAAGTTAAATGTATCTTTCATAACCGATAAACCATATCCACTGTACGGCGTCACAATATGTTGACTGTTTGAATAAGCATCATCTGCTGCAACAGTGGCCCACTCCTGCAGCACTGTACCTCCCAGAGGATCATACAATTTTGTAGCCTGCAGAGCAGTCGAATCGTGACTACCACCAGCGTGTCTTGTAGAAACAAAGTAAAACTTGTAGTCAGCGCGAACTGCAGCTTGGAAACAAAGCGAGTAAAAGCCCTACCGATTGAAATACTTCATTGCGTATGGTGTGCTTCCTGATCGAGACCTCATTATTTTTATAGAAATGCCATCTAATGCCGCAATGATACCCCGAATCAGACTGTTCCTGCTTTGCTGAAAACGTAAAGTGATTTGTTGGCATTCTTCCTCACCTTGTGGAAATCACAGTTTCGGTCGAGATTTGTTTAAAGCCGATAAAGTTTGCCGAAAAGTCGCATATGTCGTCGATCGTCCAATACCGTAAGGCCAGCCTACATCCAGATAGCTTGCACCAGCAAGAATGCGCAAAGTCACGCAAATTTTGACTTCTGTCGACACAATTGCAGCATAAATTGAAGATCTGTGCATTAGGGACTGTAGATACGGCTTAGTAAGGCGAACCAGGGTTTCAAACTGCGTTTAACGTATCCTGTAAAGTCTTGGAAAAAGCTCATGGCCGATAGTTGCGAAGTGCTTGTAAACATCAAACGTTATTCTCGATATAACCTTCCGACCTCGCCTCAAGTCATGGTTTCTGCTGCCCATCGCATCAAAGGAAGTGAGAAAAAGCAAGGGAAACATGGCAAGTGCTTGATGTTGTCTTTGCAGTCGGCGTTTCATGAAAAGAGCCAAACGATGCATACCGCAAGATACATGGCGGTGATGCTGCAAAAATGATACTCGTCTGTGCACTATATTTTCCGTTCGGTAGTAATAGTAGAATCTCGAGACGAAGAGAGAGGACTATATGACCGATATCTGACATCAAAAGGATTGTCGCTCAGAATGACGTCAGGTTGATATTCGCAAGTGTTGATAACTGCAAATCTTGAAGTAGGAAACCTGCAGCGAGTTTCTGGAAAAATGCTGATTTCATAGACAGCTTTAGTGGTTGGAAAGTTGGAAAAGTGGTATGACAAATAGCTTTCTGATTTCAAAACCTCCCCTTGTTTTTAGGTCATAGACAGCCCCTAAGCAACGCAAGACGGTTTTCGTCGCTATAGAGAACAGCTGTTCTGCCACCTGTGCGAAATAGGGACTTTCTAGTCTCCATTTTGGCTTCAAAAAACTCCCAAATTTTAAATTTGTTTTGGGTTTGCCATCTCGGTTCCGTTCAACTTTGGAGATACTCTACTCTACAGTACACCCGGTAACAGGATTTAGTCTGGGGGAAGAATAGCGGAGAAAATTGCTTAGTACGAAATTAGAATGGCCTACATTAATACTGTATCAGTTCGACATGGATTAACTTTATTTAAAGACAGGGCGGTGTCTCACAGTACCAGTTCGGTGACTTTTGCCGAAATATGTGCCAATCCATTTTCCACGGAGTGTATATAGTGGGGTACCCAAATTAGAGTAGGGCACGCTAATTTATGTTCCAAGGTGCCGAAAATAGGCCTGTCAATTAGTCTAGCCCATACTAAATCCTGTTATCGGTGTAGTCGACAAATCAGGCGTCGATCCGTGTTTTGATGTTAGATTTCGGATTGGGCCCTGTTCTTTGGGAATCCAAATCGGCCTTTTTTTGGACCCAGTTTTTGGTAAGTCCAATCCAAATTACAATCATTGAATCATAAACCACTATTGCTGGGGTGTAGATTTTCCATTCTTCTTCCATTTCTTTGATTACACCCAAAAAAATCCACACTGCTGAGCATGCTCTAAGCTCGCAAATGTTAGTTTATGTTAACATCGTTTACTGTTAGCAAGCTGCAAGAAGCATGTACAGGCGGAATCGGATCAAGGCACGAAACAAAGGGCTTTGTGACGAAGAACCAGTGAGGCCACGAATTCCTCGGTGGTGATTGACGTCACGTTTAAGACGCATCAACCAATCTTCGTATCGTGCAAACCATTTTCAAGCTGTGTGACGGTGTTATCGTTTGCTCTTTCTGCCTGCTCGTCGCTGCTGTCGCAAGACTCTGGGGTTTTGTTCTGATAAGTATGGGCGACTTCCAAAGGAAACAATTGTTCCTCAGCACCATACGCACGGGTGGTGAGCCTGAAGACCGTGTGTAGCGGAATGTCAATGTATGGGCATTCTTCCTGCGATTTGCCCATGAAGTACGCATAGATGGCGCGAATGACTGCGTTGTGTGCGACAATCAAGACTGGCCCACGCTGGCGCTCCACTTCTAATATGACAGGCTCGAGACGTGTGATGACGTCCACATAACTTTCGCCGCCGGGGTATCTGTACTTGAGCTTGTCATGCTTGCGGGCGCGGGCGACTTGCGGGAGTTTATCTGCGACGGATTCATACGTCATGCCTTCGCAAATTCCAGCATCTATCTCGTTCAAAGCGCGCCATCGGACGTTCATGGTAGGAATGTGTTCGACGGTTTGTCGAGTACGCTGAAGCTGACTTGTCCAGACCAACGGTAGTTCTTTTCCCTTCTTGGTGAACTCGGCGTCGATGAATTTGGAAAGGCATTGGGCATAAGCACGGCCGCGATCAGTGAGCTTGGGGTCACCGCCCAGCTGGCCGGTGACGTTCCACTCAGACTCTCCGTGGCGTGACAGATAGATGCTGCGAGCCATGATGTGGCTATTGAGCAGAAAGCTGACGATCTTACCCTGGGCAAAACCCTGAATGTCGTTTAGGATCATTTGCCTGCCAACATTGACGATTTTGATGTAGGAAGTGTTCTCCGAGTCTTCAACGGTCTCGCTAGAATTGTTGTAGAGCTCTATTCGCTTTTTAAAATCGGAGACGGCCTCCTCCGGGTCCGCGTGGCGATAATCCGGGGAACGAAGCTTTGTCTCTATAATATTCTTTTCGACGATATTGGGGTCTGTGCAGAGGCTTTCCAAAAACAGGACGCGAACGCCAACGTTTTCCAAGCGTGTTTTCACCATGCTGCGGCGGATCTTGGTGGAATTGGTGGCGTCATATATACCGACGAGGCCGCCGTTACTGAACCACTCGACCATGTCATTCATGCACTCGACGGCGAGCTCCATGCGTGCGCGGACGCCTTGCTGATTCTCAGGGTCGAAGAAGTCTGCGGGTTGATTGCCGCCGAGCATCATGCGACGGTAATTGCCGACGTTGAAAACGGCGGTCTTGAAGCCGAGCCAGTTGAGGTAGCGCTGGAGGCACTGGGCAATGTGGGTCTTTCCCCTGGCCGGGAGGCCGACCATGACGATGCAGAGCTTCTTCGTGTTGAAAGTGGGCTGCTGCGCGCGCATCTGGGTGGGGTGATGCGGGGAGTGGCTGGCGTGATCGGGCGGATGCGGATGGTCCACGGCGTCCACGAGTGGGGAGAAGGCTGTGGGCATGGCGGCTAAGGCCGA